TACCAGTTATTTGGTAACAGGGTAACGAAAAAGTTACCAGTTATTGGGTAACTGGTAATGCAACGACAAATTCCCTCTCCTATCCACAACCACACTTTCCTTACAAGAGTACCAAATGACCTCAGGTACCTCCTATAGTAACGCTCAAGGACCCAACTCCATCGCCATAGGATATACTTTGAAGACCAATGGTGCCTCTATAGGATAGCCCTTAAGGGGGGCCCCCCCTTAGAAAATCGAGTTTTTCAGGGAAATATCGAAGTTGAGATTTTATTATAGGAAGATGCAGCGAAGCTTCCTCCATCAGAATATCTATAGATTTTTTGAAAATGATCAGATTTTCAAAGACTTACCACATGAAACTTAAAATCTACTACCATGTTTTCGGAGACATTTTCGTAGTTTTAAAGGTTTTCAGTTTTAGAAAATTTGCGTTCGGAATATTTTTATATATTAAGCGGCATGTCAGATGGCGTTAGTTTACTGCATCAGTTACGCGCTTTTAAAAAGTTCTATGAAATATATTGGAAATATGCTATTTTAATGTGTTTTTTTCGAATTTGAACGAAAAACTCATTTCTAAAACTTCTTTAGCGTTTTTCTCAAAACATGGTTTCTAGACCGAAAAATTGAAATAACTCCGGCTTGGCTCGGCAGATCACCGATGTTTTTTTTTTTGTTTTAAAGGTCTCAATGAGAGTAAACTTTTGTCCGACCAGTTTTTTTAAAGTCGATTCCTGCGATGAGAAAAGTGGAATTTACTGTCTTTAGATTACCATTTTTTATGCTGATTTTTAGACACTTCCACTAAAATACTCATAAAAAACTAATAAGATTGAATTTGAAAATTCTGTTCGGACAACAGTTGCGTACTGACATTAGCTTTAATTTGAGACCAGCCCGAGCTCGATATCTCGTGCTATGACGAAGTTATATCGATTCTCCTGAAGGCCAAAAATGACCTATGAATCAGCTGGAACTCCGGTCTAGTACGACTAATCGAGCTGAAATTTTTATCGGAAGCGTATCTCTCCAGGATCACTCATCACGAAAAATTTCAGCGCAAAAGGGCCATTTTAAGTGGAAAATCATTTCTAAGGGGGGGGGGGGGGGGGCTTAAGGCCCCTTCCCCAGTCCGCCACCGATCCCCGCCTAGGTATGCTGAAATGGGATGAAATTTGGAGGATATGTTGAGGCTGAAGTGAGGAGGCTTTGGTTAAATTTTCAGCGCGAGATGCTGACGTTGATGAACTAATCAAGGGTCAAAAGTAGCTCATTTTGCGACAAAGATTTCTCGGTTCATGCTCTGTCAATATATTTAGTTTTTTTTGTTCGAAAGAGCATCGCAGGATGCAGGCCACCACAGAGTCCTCTGTTTTAAATTCTTATGTTTTTAGCGGAAGAAGGGAATTACGAGTTCAATGACTGAAAAAACGCGCCAAAAATGGATGCGTATGTCTGTATACATAATAAAAAACAAAGCTTAATTAAAAAAGGGCTCTATGGTATCATGCATCTCGATGTGCTCTTTCAAACAAAAAAAATTTAAATATATTGCCAGGGTCTGGACCGAGAATTCCTTGTCAGAAGATCGAAAAATCATAAACCGAGAAAAAACGAAAAAGATGTCTTGTTTTTTTGAAAGAAGCTAACTTTTCGAATAGAGATCGACAGAAATCTTGAACATTTTTTGGAAAAAAGGAGGTGATGAGTACAAATTTTTATTGTTTATGAAAGATCTGAAGACAGGGTATCTTCCCATCCATTTTTCTCAATTTCGACATATTTGGTGAAAGTTGACTGTTTTCGAGTAGGGGTGGGAAGTTAACGTTACGTTACCAAGTAACTAGTAACTCGCAAGTTACTAGTTACCGAGTAACTAGTAACGTCGGAGTTACCAGTTACCAGGTAACTAGTAACTTCGGAGTTACTAGTTACTTTTGGTAGGTAACTTGTCTAAGAAGTGGAGATATCGCTTCCTCATGAGTGAATACCATCATTACAGTACTTATTCAGCTCACGAGTTACCGAGTAACTAGTAACGCACATAGGAGTTACTAGTTACCAAGGAACTCGTAATTTAATTGAGTGATGAATAGATGATATTCAGTCATTAGGAAGCGATATCTCGACTTTTTAGACAAGTTACCTATCAAAAGTAACTAGTAAATTCGAAGTTACTAGTTACCTGGTAACTGGCAACTCCGGCGTTACTAGTTACTCGGTAACTAGTAACTCAAAAGTTACTAGTTATCCGGTAACGTAACTCCCGGGTAACGGTAACTTCCCACCCCTATTTTCGAGTAGGGGAGGCTTAACTATTCATATTCACCTTCTTCAGTGGCTTTAACTTTTTTCAGAACGTCTTTATAATCATTATGAGATTCTTCAAAAGCATCATTATTTTTTTCTTTTGGCATAATTGTTGTCATTAGAGATCTACACAATCGTCACGGCCATAGATGAAACAGGCACCAACAGCTAGCTGATCCAAATTTTAGACCAGCTAGTATATCGATAATTGCCGGTCTACGAGTATTTTTCCGGACTGCCGGTTTTTTACCAGTAGAACAGCATTTTACGGGTATACCAGTCGCTCCAGCTCACTCTGATGTGTTCAAAAGGGTACCGGTGCCGGTCGTCAAAAAACTAGATTGGTTTCATCTATGGACTCAGTCACGCATGACCGTGACTAGTTTTGGAAAATCATCGTGACCGTGACCGTGACCGTGACTAAGTAGTTCGTGACTATGTCGTGACCGTGACTAAAAAATCGTGGTCACGCAGGTCTCTAATAGCTTCCCCGTGCTTCAAATATTTTGATTGGAATCGAAAATTAAAAATGGTCAAAAGCATTTCATATTTATAAGCTCATATTGAAGGTGCAGCCGAGAATGATAGATATCAAGGATGATGTTTTGGTTTTTAATAACTGTCATATGATCATCACAGGAGCATGAACTAGTTAACATCTATCTTTGGAAAAGAACTTTTCAACACTAAATGAGGCTGTGCTAATAAAACTTTTTAGTAGACTCTAACAATGTTTGTTCTTATTTCAGTCTAACCTAAATATTTTCTTCATTCAGTTTAAATTTGACGTTATTTTCTTCTGATTTAATCTTGTGAAGATGCTAGATAAATAGAATATCAAATCTTCTATGTATTGATGCGAAATACTTCCAACTTAGAATAGGACTTGATGATATACAAGCTTACAGAAAATTGATTGATATTCAGCACAAATATTAAAGATAGTAGTTAGATGATTAAGTATCTGTTAGTCTTTTCAATATTTCAACAATAAGACAAACCCTATCTGGAAAACAAAGTCGAGAGTTTTACATGATGCATGATGATCTGTGTATTGAATATGGAATGAAATCTCTGGAGTATGCTTTCAAAATCTAGAAAATAAAATAAAAATGTTTCAATCTTTATGAGACACCCATTACACAATGAAATCATATTTGCTCTTTCTAAGTACAGTTCAGAATATTAAAATAGGGAATGAATGATTATAAAATTATGCATTTTGCTTTTTAGTTTGTCTTTAAATATTTTCTTGAAGCTGAAACTCGAAAACTTCATGTATTTTCGAAAAATTCAATGATTGCCAGATGTTGTGTGAGCAAGATTTTAGCAAGCGATTTCTTTGATTTTCATGGTTTCATAATAGTTTTCAGCATCAAAAATCATAGTGGTTTCTTTTTGACTAACATCTTGGAAGGTCTTTCCAATTGTATTTTTTCAAGATCACAAATCAATCAATGCCAGAGGCTGAAACTGAAAGTAACTTACGAGGGAACACCTCCAACTGATCAAACGCTATTTAACTTTTAGTAATTCCAATTTGTAGAGCTTATTGAGTTATTAACAGATATAATAATCATTCGGGCCCATAGTGGGTTTAAGAATGAGTTTTCCATAACTAAAGTTTATATTAAATGTCATAGGAGGTCAAAGGTCAAATATCAAAGGTTAATGAGAGTGCTGGTTGGGTGTGGGTGGGGATGTGGATGTGGGTGAAAAAAAGAATAATATCCACACCCACATCAAACCGGCACTCTCATTAACCTTTGACATTTGACCTTTGACCTTTGATCTTTGACCCCCTATGATATTTAATATAAACTTTAGTTATGAAAAACTCATTCTTAAACTCACTATGGGCTCGAATGATTATTATATCTGTTAATAACTCAACAAGCTTTACAAATTGGGATTTCTAAAAGTTAAATAGCGTTTGATCAGTTGGAGGTGTTCCCTCGTTAGAGCGAGGTTCCTAATTACAGAAAGTTTTCACTCAAGGCAGAATGAAGCGAATTACTAAGAAATAAAAGATTTAATATCGAGGTTAGATAAGGCAAGGAGTGAAACATCTATCCCGTTTCAATCTCTGATTATTAATTCGAGTGAGGAAATTCGATTAGTAATTGCTCGCTATACTGAAAACGATCATTAATCGGCAACTTTGCGTTGCATGATAACAATAACGACAAGAGTCACGATTTTTTGCCATGAGCTTTGGCTCATACAATGAAGAAATTTTAGGATTTTATTCGGTCAATTATTATTAAAAAAATAGTAGGTGATAATTATTAAAAATTAACAGCAAAAAGCAATATGTTAGTTATGCTTTTCTACCGACGAATTACTGCTTGACACATGATCGAATCGACCTACTGACAAATTCGACATAAATATGCCACTTGAAGTCCATCTCTTTTACACACTAATCAAACAAGAATTTATTTCTTTAATTTTTTCAATAATTAAATGTTTTTCAAGCAATTTCTACTTTCAATCAAAACAAAAATTTGTATTCTAATCATTAAATTAATTATGTCTTTTTGTTAGAACCAATATGCCCCTTTCTATTGGTATCTCAGACTCAAGATTGGATTGGTGTTGCAGATGGTAAATTGGCAATTGCATTAGGTGATTTCAATAATGACAATCACTTGGATATCATTGTCACTGAACGAGACAATAACAAAATGAATATCTTCTTGGGAAACGGAGATGGGTCGTTTCCCAAGAATCCAACGACTTCAATAACTTGCTCTTCTTTACCGTACTCTATCGCAGTCGGCGATTTTAACAATGACAGTTGGTTGGATATCGCCGTCGCTAATCATAATCACAATAATATAGGTTTTTTTTTTGGGTATGATAATGGAACTTTCACAATAGAAAAAATTTATTCAACTGGTGCTTCTCGTCCACTGGCACTATCGGTTCATGATTTTAACGACGACAAACAGTTGGATATTGCCGTAGCCAATGATGGTACGAACAATATCGGTGTACTTTTGGGTTATGGTAACGGAACGTTTGCAAATCAGCTGACGTTTTCAACTGGCTTCGATTCACGTCCTCATGCGATCGTTGTTGCTGATTTTAACAGCGACAATCGTCTGGATATCGCTGTTGCCAACGCTGGAACCAACAATATAGGAGTTTTTCTTGGCAATGGTAATGGAACGTTCTCAAATCAAACTACATATTCAGCAGGAAGTTATCCTGTCTCGCTGGCCGTTGGTGATTTTAACAAAGATGGTCGAATGGATATTGTTGTAAGCAATAGTAATGGTCACAATGTACGTATACTACTTGGAAATGACAATGGAGTGTTTACAAGTCAAGCCATCTATGCAACAGGCTTCGGTTCTTATCCTAGCTCGGTGGCTGTTCGCGATTTCAACAAAGATGATCGTCTCGATATTATCGTCGCTCATAGTGGCAATAATAAACTAAGTTTCTTTGTCGGACATGGCGATGGAACCTTCGAAAAACAAAGGTTATATTCAATAGCTATTGGAGTCTCCCAAATGATCGTTGCTGACGATTTGAATAACGATACCTGGACAGATATTGTCATTGCTGTTGATAACGCTTCTAATATCGCTGTTTTTCTTGGAGGTCCAGATAAAAACTTTACCAATCTAACGACATATTCAACAGGTGGCAGTGCTTACACAATGTCTGTTGCCGTGGGTGACTTCAACAACGACGCTCGATTAGATATTGTTGAAGCAAATTATCGCAGAGACGATATAGGAGTCTTTCTTGGAGATGGGGACGGAAATTTTGCTATGAAAATTGAATATTCAACAGGATCAGGTTCTCAGCCATGTTTCGTTACTGCTGGTGATTTTAACAACGACACTCAATTGGATATCGTTGTAGCCAATTATGGTACTAATAATATAGGCATCTTTTTTGGAAAAGGTGATGGAAATTTTTTCAATCAAACTGTATATTCAACAGGATCGGGTTCTAAACCATATTCTGTTGCTATTGGTGATTTTAACAACGACACTCGACAAGATATTGTTGTAGCCAATTATGGCACTAACAGCGTAGGCATCTTTTTGGGAAAGGGTAATGGAACGTTTTCAAATCAAACTACATATACAATAGATGGTTATCCTATATTTGTGACCGTTGGCGATTTGAACAAAGATGACCGATTGGATATCGTTATAGTCAATGATTATGATGACAATGTAAGGATCTGGTTTGGAAATGATGATGGAACTTTTTCAATGAAAATTACATGTCGAACGGGATTGGGATCTAGACCGTATTCGGTTGCTGTTGGTGATTTCAACGGTGATACTCAATTGGATATCGTCGTAGCTAATTATGGTACTAACAATCTTGGCGTTTTTCTTGGAAATGACGATGGAACGTTTTTAAATCAAACTACATATCCTACTGATCGTGGTCCGTGGTCGGTTGTTGTTGGTGACTTGAACAATGACACTTACCTAGATCTCATTGTAGCCAATAACGGTGATAACAATATAGGTGTGCTCGTTGGATATGGCGATGGGTCTTTTTTGATCCAAACGACATATTCAACTGGATGGGATTCTCAACCACATTGCGTCGCTATTGGTGATTTCAACAATGACAATAGATTGGATGTAATAGTTGCACTTTACTATTATTTCTCAATAGGTATTTTTCTTGGATATTACAAATCGCCTTTTACAGTTCCTGTAGTGTATTCAAGTGGTTTAATTCCTACACCGCTTGCACTCGCTGTTGCAGACTTTGATAATGACAATCAATCAGATATCATTGCTGCCAATAATGATGGAAATGTAGTCATTTATTTGAATACTGCAAATGGCAGTTTTCCAAGTTCGACATTATATTCAACTGGTTATTTTACTGCTCTGTCTTCTGTTGCGGTGGGTGATTTCAATAATGACAGTCAATTTGATGTCGTAGTCGCTAATCACGATAGTGACAATATTGTCTTCTTTCTTGGATTCGGAAATGGTAGTTTTGGGAGTGCCATGTCATACACAACTGGATTCAAGTCGGGTCCCTGCTCAGTTGCCGTTGGCGATTTCAATAGCGATAATCGATTGGATTTTGTAAATGTCAATAATCGTGATAGCACTATAGCTTTATTTCTTCATTATGGCTTTGGAGCATTTATGAATAAAGAAATATATTCAACTGCTTCTGATAAACCTTCTCGTTCGGTCGGCTTTGGTGATTTCAATGGAGATACTAGAGTGGATATAGTTGTACCCAATCCAAGTAATTCTACTATAACTGTGCTGCTTGGAAATGGCAAAGGAGCTTTTTTGAATCCAACCATATATTCTACCGGATTTGGTTCAGTACCGATTGCGGTTGCAGTTGGTGATTTTAACAACGACACTCGACTAGATATCGTTGCAGCCACTAATAATGGCTTCAATATAGGTATTTTTCTTGGAAATATTGATGGAACTTTTCAGAAACCAATACCATACACAGATAAAGATGTTTTTGATGTGACTGGACTCGACATTGGTGATTTTAATAACGATGCTCGACTGGACATCGTTATAACAAGCTTCAGTGGCTACTGTATATGGGTGTATTTTGGAAATGGTGACGGTACATTTTTGACTCCCATCATGCACTCAACTGGCTATTATTCGTGGCCATGGGGCGTCGTAGTTAGTGATTTTAATAATGACGCACGACTGGATATAGCTGTAGCCAATAAGTGGAATTATAGTGTAGGAGTTTTTCTTGGAAGTGGTGATGGAAGTTTTTCCAATCAAAGCACATACTCAACTGGAGAGAATTCATTGCCAATTGGGCTCACTTTTGGTGATTTTAATAATGATAATAGGATGGATATCGTTGTAGCCAATTACAATAGTGACAATATAGGCGTATTTCTTAATAATGGTGATGGAACTTTTATGGAACAAGCGACATATATGACTGGCAAACAGTCTGGCCCATATTGGGTTGCTGTTGGTGATTTTAACAAAGATGCTCAATTGGATATTGCCGTCGTTCTATCTCTCTCTGACAATTTAGCGATCTACTTCGGAGATGGAAATGGCACGTTTAATCATCGAACAATATTTGGAACTGGCCCTACAACTTATCCATGGTATTTGATAGTTTGTGATTTCAACTATGATAACTGGCTTGATGTAGCTATCGTCTTGGGAAATGTTGGCGGTGTTGTTGTATTTTTGGGCGATAGAAATAGAATGTTTCTAGTATCTATAAAATATTCAACTGGCTCGGGCTCTGCTCCACAAGCTATTGCTGTTGGAGATTTTAATAACGATAAGCATTTGGATGTAGCTGTTGCAAATAGTAAGACTAATAATGTAGGCGTATTTCTGGGACGTGGTGATGGACGTCTTTTAAGCCAAGTAACATATTCAACTGGTGCTGATTCTCTGCCATGGTCAATTGCTCTAGGTGATCTTAACAACGACACTCAACTTGATATTGTCGTGGCAAATCATAATAGTGACAATATAGGAGTTTTTCTTGGACATGGAAATGGAAAGTTTGAAATGATAATAACGTATCCAACTGATTCGCTTTCTAATCCAGTATCTATTGTTATCCTAGATATTAATAAGGATAATAAAATGGACGTTGCTGTTGCCAACAGTTTTGCTAACACCATAAGCATATTTCTCGGACATGGTAATGGAACATTTTTCAATCCAATGACATATTTAACTGGTTATAATTCTCGCCCAGTTTGGGCCGCCGTTGGTGATTTCAATATGGACGGCTGGATGGATATTGTCGTGGCCTCTTCTGGTACAAAAAACTTAAAAATTCTTTCGAAATCATGCTAAATTTTCTGTAAATTCACCTTCTCTTTATTCTTTGCTCTCAGTGAAAATTGGAAGCTCTCTTCCTATGTACTTCAACGCATATTGACGAGCATGGTTCCCACAAACTTTCATTTTTCTGCTGATGAATAGCAAGCAAAGCAAGCAAAGCTGTTATTGTTTGAAATTTATTTACGCCGTTATTAATATAACTGAGCTTCATGTAATTGAATAGGATGTTTTTATTGGAATGTACAAAGTATGGGTGTGGGTGTGAGTGTGAGTGTGTCGGTGTGGGTGTGTGAGTGTGGGTGTGAGTGTGGGGTGTGGGTATGGGTATGG